TGTTAACCAATGTCATAAAACAATATGTGCACTGACTGTTTAATGAGAAACTATTTGTTCTGTAAACCTTCATCTAAAGTACAATAAAAAAAATTAAAAAAAAAAATCTACGTCAGATCATGGCATGCCTCTGCTCAGAATCTCCTAGAGCTTCCTGTCTCCCTCAGCCTAAAAGCTGAAGTTCTTGTAATGACCTACAAGCATCTACATGCTCTACTTACCTGCCTTCCTCCCACCCTGATCTTGAACTTCTAACAGCATCTCGTGTTACTTTTCTTCCTCGCTCCCTCCACTCTGGCCACATTGGTTTATCTCTGTACCTTAAGACAAGCACACTCCCATCCCACTGCTCTTACTGATTTCTCTGCCTAGAGTGTTTTTCCCATGAATAGCTTTGTAGCTCACTCCCTTACTTCCTCTAGGTCTTCATTCAAAGGTTATCTATTCAGTAAGCTCTTTCCTGGCCAGCCTACCTAAAATTGCAACACACACACACAGACACACATGCATACATATGCACACACACTTACATATATCCACAGTCACACATACATACACCAATCATGCATGCACACACATATACACACGCCACATATTCTCATGCACACACACACACAAAAGCACACACACTCACATATACACACAGTCACACATACACAATCACACACACATTCTCACACACATACCATATACACATTTCATATCCATTTTCCTTGTTTTGTTTTTCTTCTACAGTGCTTATAGCCATCATATTATATATTTTATCTATATTTTACTTCTAAATATATTTTATGTTTTTACTTATTTCATTTATTTCCTGTCTCTCCTTTACAATGTAAATTCCATGAGTCCATAGCCTAGGGATTGTTGTCTGTTTGGTTCACAGCTGTATCTCCAGTGCCTAAACAAGTGAGTGGTATAATAGGTCCGCAATAAATATTTATTATAAAACTCTATGTCTTACTAGTAATTGCCATGCTCAAAGAGTTTTTTGTTTACCTTCTATATAAATCTCAGCAGAAGTTGAATCTGTCCCATAGATGTTAGAAGCAAAGCAGGAATAGCGTCCCGTGTCCTCTTCAAAGGCTTCAGCAATGGTCAGCGTGTGCAGATTTCCTGCCTGGACAATGTGAATGTCTGGGGAATTTTCAAGCTCCTTGCCTTCACAGTACCACCTGCAAGGAAGGGAATATGGCCATTGGACATGACCAAAAATGTGAGAATTAATAATCCAGATGGTTCCAGATGTTCCCTTTGAAGAAAACTCTGGCAAACTTAATCTGGAATCAGAACGTTAAACAATGGGTTATTATGGTATTATTTGATTGTAACAATAAGAAGAGTTGGCAGTATTCAAACCACATTGACAATTTATTCAGAAAATTATAAAGTGGCTCCGATTAAGAATAATATAACTGAGAGAAATAGGTAGGGAAGCAAATACAACCAACCAGGAAGAAAAGGGTCTTTCATGGGAAAATTTGCTTCTCAAATGACTTACAGGTCTCCTTAGTATGTATTAAGCAAGTACTACTTTAGTTTATTTGGAGAGAATCTAAGCAATATTAAAGGTTTGTGAAGCAGAGTACATTCACTTCCTACTATTAAATTGCATGTGACCTAGTTAAGTGAAAATTAATTTGTTCTTTTACTTGAGTCTTTGGAATAAGGAGGACGGGTCATATTGTCCCAGAAGTGGCCCTAGTCTGGCAAATAACCTAAGTTAAATATGTTCCTATAGGTAATGGTATTTTTTTTTAATTCTGTATACTTGAAGTTAGAAATGTTTATTACAATGTAGTTTTTTTTAGCCAAAAGATTACACAAAAGAATACATAAAATAATGTTTAAAATGTGGAAGTCCATAATAAGAGAAATGCACATTAAAGCCACACGGAAATACCATTTCTCACCTTAAAGATTGGCAAATGTCTAAAAGTTTGACCCTACTTATACATTGCTAGTGGGAATTTAAAATGGTACAACCCTTGTGAAAGGAATCTGGCAATATCTGCCAAAGTTACAGAAGCATTTATCCTTTAACAATCCCACTACTGGGAATCTGTCCTACAGATACACCTGAATACATACAAAATGGAAAATGTACAAGATTACTCATTGTGTCATTGTTTGAAATAACAAAAGATTGGAAATAACCCAAGTGCCCATCATGAAAGGACTGATGAAATAAACTATGATAGAGCCACACATTGGAACACTACCCAGAACTAAAAAGAGAATGAGAAAGATTGTATGCACTGATATGAGAAGAATCCCAAGATACATAGCTAAATTTTAAAGTGCATATACGGTGTCTTAGTTATCTAGTGCTGCTATAAGAGAAATGCCACAAGTAGCTGGCTTTAACAAAGAGAAATTTATTCTTTCACAGTTTAGGAGGCTAGAAGTCGAAATTCAGGGTGCCAGCTCTAGGGGAAGACTCTCTCTCTGTCAGCTCTGGGGAAGGTCCTTGTCATCAATCTTTCTCTGGTCTAGGAGCTTCTCATTGCAGGGACCTCGGGTCCAAAGGACATACTCTGCTCCCGGTACTTCTTTGTTGGTGGTATGAGGTCCCTCTCTCTGTTGGCTTCTCTGTTTTATATCCCAAAAGAGATTGAGTCAAGATACAACCCAATTCTGTAGACTGTGTCCTGCCTCATTAACATAACTGCCTCTAATCCTGCCTTATTAACGTCATAGAGTTTAGGATTTATAACACATAGGAAAATTACATCAGATCACAAAATGGGGGACAACCACACAATACTTGGAATCACTGCCTATCCAAGTTGACACATATTTTGGGGAGACACTATTCAGTCCATGGCATAGGGTGCTAGCTTTTGTGTAAGAAATGAGGGGCAAGAAATAAGAGAATATATTCATGTTGTTTGCATCTGCATAAAGAAAACTGGAAAATAAATTACAAAGAAAAGTGACTGTATCTATTAGAGGTGAGGGAAGCAAGATGGATGAGGACAGGATAGTAGTGAGACATCTCCACATACCCCGTTTTATATTGTGTTCATTTTTTAAAATAATTATTATTAATCAATGTCGTAATAAAAAGTAATTAAATGGGGAAGTATTACCACTATTCAATATCAAAAATTAAGGACTCCTGGCAGATGCTATTTTTACTATAATTTCAGATCTAACTGCTCAGTGCTTTAATCACCCACCCCCACCATTTAGAAAGCAAGATTCTAAAGCACATTTAAGAAAACCCACCCACCTATTCAGCTACTTCCTAACAGTCAAGCTGTTCTCTACTGTTTCATAGATATGTCATGTTCACTCCCACATTCAAGTCTCTGCTCATGTTTTCCCCTCTATCTGAGATTTTCTCCCTCTGCCTTTCAGCTGCTGCAAATGTAACTCACCCATCAAAGTCTGGCTCAGATTTACCTCCTACAAAAGCTACCTTTTACCACCAGTTCTCGATGATTGTTACATTTTCTAACTTCACTTTTTTTTTTCTTTTTCACTTGTACTACATCATGCGGGGCTTGATTATCCACTGTCTTTTATTATTCTGTATTTTGAAAATTTGCTTTGTCTCACCAACTAGACTATAAATTTTTTGAAGGTAGGGTCAGTGCCTAATATACTCTGGCAGCATCCACAGTGCCTAGCGCAGTTCTCTGTATACTCTCTCCCTTAACCATCTTATCTCACCCCAATCTTATCTCATTTCAGATTTTCAATTATTGCTTCTATTTGAGATAACATTCAAACCTACATTTTCAGCCCTAACTTCTGGACTCCGTCTTCCACACTCCTCCCCTCACTCACTGTGTTCCAACCACTTTGGTCTTCTTTCTATTCCATGGATAAAAGTACATTCACTTCCTACTATTAAATTGCATCAGACCTAGCTGTTCTCCATCTTAGGGTCTTTGTACCTCCTGAAATCTTTGCCCAGATCTTTACCAAGACAGATCTTTCTCACCAGTCATGCCTCTGCTCAAATGTCACCTTCCCTGACCCTCTTCCTAATGTAGCCCCCTTACCCTCGGTTACTCTATCCCATAGTCTGTTTTATTATCTTATTATTATCATCTTCTTATAACTGTCTGACATCGTCTGACGTATTTGTTTACTTTGCTACTGTTTGCTTCCTACACTGGATTGTAAAGTCTATGAGACGACCTTGTCAGTCTTATTCACCACTATAATCTTATCACCTGAACTAGTGCCCCTGCCACACGGTAGGTACTCAGCAAATACGTGTTTAATGAATTTGTTGAAAGACTGAATAATGGAGAAATCTAATAGTTAATATTTTGTAAGTATTTGTTATCTTTTAAACAAACCAAACTCATTGCCATTAAGTCCATTCCAATTCAGAGCGACCCTATAGGACAGAGTAGAACTACCCCATAGTGTTTCCAAGGAGCAGCAGGTGGATTTGAACAGCTGATCTTTTGGTTAGCAGCCGAGTTCTCAACCACTGCGCCACCAGATTTCCATTTGCTATTTGCTTCATCAAATTCTATGCCAGTCTTTAATTTCTGTTTGACAGTAGAAATACGTGTATCTGCCAAATGGGTTCATAAAGCTCCCAAAGCATAAATCTCAATAAGACCCCAATAAGCTTGTGTGAACAAGCCCTTAGAGCTGTGTAGTTCCAAATACAAATACTAGGCTTCCAGTTAAACATGACATATTGAGCACCTATGTTTATCTTTACTTCTCTCTTTAAATGATCCCTAAAATGAGAATAAAGAAATTTTTCAAAGGCATAAAACTGCAAGGATGAAAGGAATAGGAGAGGAGATAACAGCAGTTGTGAGACCTCAAAATGTTTTTGTAAAATGGAAGGCTGATTGAGGAGGCAGCAGAGCTGAGAAATCTGAGAACCAAGTGCTTACTTGGGGATGTCAGTGAGAGGAGTGGCCAGTCTGTGCAGGACCCCAGGAAGGTTCAGGATTTGGAGACACACAGTTGCTAAGGATGGGGGACGAGACTCTGAGCTTGCAACAGGGGATCTGGTTAAAAGTTTGGAAAATGAGACTTTAGACCCCTCACATCAGGTTCTGTCCCCTCCTCTGAGCAGTTAGGGGATGTCCCAGGATGAAGGCTCAGTTGCAGGCCGAGCGAGCAACCGCTTCATCTCCGAACAGGAGGAAGCAGGATTTAAGAGGGAATTTCTCCAGGGGAAAATGAGTGGACCTGATTGATTCCCTGAGGTGTCTAACTATGTGGAACAGGATATTCAGAAGTTTAACAAAGTTATTGGAGAGTTGAGACAAATTTCAAATTTGTGATAGGATCACAAAAGGAAGCACATGAAAAAACAAGGAAGTGATTAACACCAAGGGGGAACAAGTTGTATAAGGAAACATTCATTTTACCTTACTAGGCTAGGCAGTGAACAATATGTGGCACAGTGCTTAAGAACTCGGCTGCTAATTAAAATGTCGGCAGTTCAGCCTCCCCTTGGAAACCCTAAGAGGCAGTTCTACTCTGTTCCATAAGGTCGCTATGAGTCAGAATTGAGTTGATGGCACCTAACAACAACAGGCTCGGCAGTGACCAATATTTATGTAGTAGTAATAAGTTTGTTGTTGTTGTTGTTAGGTGCCATTGAGTTGATTTTGACTCATAGTGACCTCACGTGACAGAGTAGAACAGCCCCATGGAGTTTTCTAGGCTATAATCTTTATGGGAGCAGATCGCCAGGTCTTTCTCTCATGAAGTCATTGGGTGAATTGAACCGCCAAACTTTGGGTTAGCAGCCGAGCACTTACCCATTGTGCCACCAGGGCACATTAGTAATAAGATAAACATTAAATATTCTTTTAAGCAACAAGTGTGATATGATTACATTGAGAGGTTGAAGGAAGGGAAAATGGGGGCTTTGGTTTAGGGTACCCCGTTGCTGTTGAGTCGATGCCAACTCATAGCGATCCTATAGGACGGAGCAGAACTGCCTTGTACGGTTTCCAAGGAGCAACTGAACTGCCGACCTTTTGGTTAGCAGCCACAGCTCTTAACCACTGGGCCACCAGAGCTCAGGTTTAGTGTGTGTCATGAATTGACCAAAAATATTTGTATCAATTTGGCTAGGCCATGATTCCCAGTATTGTGTGATTGTCTACCATTTTGTCTTCTGATGTGATTTTTCTATGTATTGTAAATCTTATCTCTATGATGTTAATGAGGCAGGATT